GTCACACTCACTGGTCACTAAATGTATGTACGTCCGTCACACTATCTGTTGACTATATGTATGTACGTCCGTCACACTCTCTGGTCACTATATGTATGTACGTCCGTCACACTCACTGGTGACTATATGTATGTACGTCCGTCACACTCACTGGTCACTATATGTATGTACGTCCGTCACATGCGGACGCCGACGCCGACGCCGATGCCGACGCCGACGCCGACATTTATTTCATATGACCCTAGACTTTCTGTCAAGGGAATAACACAAATTAAACTTTGTTTGTTTCCCTTACTATTTAAGAGGAAAAAAAATCAGCATTTCCTTTTTTTTTTAAAGTTTATTCAGGTAGAACACAGCATGCTGTGTTCTACCTGCATCAATGCTGCTTACTGCGACGTTCCTATAGGGAAGGGATTAATAACCAGATGCAGAGCAAACTTATTAGACAGTCAGTTTCTGAAAAAACGAAGAGGATTCTTTCTACAAAGCATAAGAGAGGCGAATATTACAACTCTACTTTACCTAAATGTCCTTTTTCATCGGTCAAATGCTCTTTTCTTATTTCAGCGAGAATTTCAGCATGTGTTTGATTGGTACGTAAAATAGGTGTCTGTTCGTATGGATAGACACGTAATGGTGGTTGACGTTTTAATATTTTCTGGCGAATACTAAAAGAGAAAATGGCATTAACATACAATGGCGTTGCTGTGATTTAGATTTTTACTGAATAAACTATATTGTGCCAATTTATTAAAATGAAACCGATCACCCTTTGTACAACAAAACATCACAGCCATATTCAGCCATATAGGATTTTCCATTTCGCATTGGAATGGTTTGTCATTACAAGAGGCTATTGTGTATAAGTATAATTTTGTTGTCTGCCCTAATTCCGCTATATAATATTCACATCCTAGCTCGAGCTCCATTAATTCAGTTATCAGAATTCGAGCTGATGCTTGAATTTGTTTAGTTGTGGGAAGTTTACCAGTTGGCCAAATTAGTGGTAACACGATGTTTTTTAACATAAATCGCTCTTTTATTGGTAATTCATTCAAAACTAACATAAATTGCCAAAAACCGAAGTTTTAAAAGTTTCGTATTTCTCAAATTAAAAGTCAAAAGGACAATTTTGAAAAAACCTCTCGTGAGGGACTGCACAATTCGATTCTGAACAACTTTAGTGTCCACAGTTTTGCATCAAAATGCTTCTTTCAAACGAAACTAGCCGTAAGGTGAGGTAAAAAACACTTTTAGCTCTAAAACTTCCTCGGAAAGGTGAACGTTAAATTCCTGCGTCAAATTTCATTCAGAAACGATGAAAAGTGTTTTTCCTTATACAAGTTAATGTTTTTCATCAAATACGCCAATTAAGAAGACATGATTTAGCAATACTTAACGGGGAGTTTAGTTTCCCTTGCTCACTGTTCTGATGGGCTATCATACTCAAGTTTATTAATATTCAATCAATGTACCGTTCATTCTGCTTGATGCAACATTAGTTATTTGAAACATGATTTCAAAGGATTTTTCTCTGTATCGTCTGAACGATCTAGACGTTTAGAATCAACAGACAAAGTGTTACAGCAAGTTATTTTGGCA